TGTCGAGAATTTTTGCATGACATTTTAGTTAAATCTGACAGTTGCAGGATCGTAATCGGCTAAACGTGAAAAGGTTATTTTTTTTAATGCATAGCAGTTTGTCATAATTCTATTCTATTCTGTTCTATTTTATACATTCCATGGAAAGTGCTTAATTAGCTAAGATTTGTTTATGGATTTATTATTATTTATTACAAACACTAGGGAATTGGAAGGTTTGTTTATTTAAAATAACGCTTCCTCCTAGAATCTTTTAAGAGTTGACTGCAAGGTAAAAAAAATTACTGACAATTGCAAGGCATCAAAGTAAACATTCCTGCGATAAAATAATATCGATTTAAATCAGTCATATTTGGATAAGGAATTTTCTGATAAGTTTGTGTGGCAGCCAATAGTTTAATTTTGTGAAGAGTTGTCATTAAATAGTGGAAATAGTTTAAATAGTGAAGCAGTTGATTTTTGAGTTATTCTACCAGATTTGGTGTGCAAATGAAAGAAGGTTATAAAGTTTAGTTAAAAAAACAATATAAATAGTTTAAATAGTGAAGCAGTTGATTCTTGAGTTAATCTACCAGTTCCGATATCCAGATGAAATCGTGTTAATGGAGTTTAGTTAAAAAACAAGATACAGAATGTAAGTTTACCTTCTTTTTTATGAATAACAAAAATGAATATTATATTTCAAACAATCTATAATCCCATTCAGAATCTGATTCTTGAAAATCAATGATTACACTAGATATGTGGCTGGTATCAATTATATCCTACATTTCAAGAAAATGTCGTGGTTCTAAAAAGAACCGTTTTAATACATATAAATATCCATAAAGGTATTAGTTTAAGATATTTCCTCAATATCATTCCGGAATTCACAATCTGATTCGCGAGCGACAGAAACTGAAATAAAGATAACTCAGCCTCATTTTCTAATTGAAACTAATTTAATAATTTTAATATTAGTCTTTTTTCATTCTCGGTATATCTCGGAATATTTAAAATATTTTTATGACAATAAATACAGAATTTAATTTTCACTGTAGTTAAAATGTCTGAAAATACTAACCTGGAATGGCAATTATCATTTTATCAGTTGTTGTGAAAGTACTGTCACTGTCATTATCAAGATCATCTGTGTCAAATTATATTTATATGCATAATTGATTGGATATCTATTTAGCATATTCTAAACTCCAACCAATTATACGTTCGTAAGTAGAATTCGCTTTAATATGCGAATACCCGTAAACGATACCTAATTTTCTAATTTCTATGTATAATAATAAGCGACTCACGTTTTTTTCTGTCACTTCTAGCTTAATGCGTTAGAGAGAATTCGAACAACTATGACGCACTGAAAAAAGGGTTTGGGACGGACCGTAATACATTTTTTTTTTCACTACGTTAGGACATAAACCCGATTCAACATCTCGGAGGTTTAGATCCTGTTAGTGATTGTTTTAGTATTTGTTTTTTTTTTTCTTATTTTGTTCTTTTTTTTTTTAATGTATTTTTATAATCATCTTTTTTCTTTTTTTTTTAATTTATTGGAAAAATACGTATAAATACAGTCAGTTTTAACCAAAAAAGAATGGTGTATATTGACTCATATAAGGAAAATGATGTGACATATTATGCACTTCCCTCTCTATTATAAAAATATATCTAAACTGTGATTTGAAACAAGTAAATCACACAGCGATCATAAACCGTTTTAAAAGCCGCCATAAACTTTATTTTGACGGTTATCACAAATAGCGCTAATGACCTATTTGTTTCAATAATGGAGGCATAAATTCATGAACGAAATAACGTTTTATAGCCACGATAATGACAGAAAGTTTAACAGACAAATAAAGCAAATTAATTACGTATTACGCCCCTGGGTGGTAATTGGTATCGCCTCTAACGAACTGTGTATTAGAGGCGAAACAGAGCGAAGGAGGAAATAATTGCAAAGGTAAATTCACTTTGTAACGTTGATAAGAGGATCAGATATTAACATTTTCGTAGAATGTAGGTAAATTGTGTAGAGTAGTTCATGTAAAAGAAAAACCTGAATTTTTCCGTAAAACCATCTCAATTATTGGAAAAATAGAGTCTTCTCTGAAGTAAGAGTATTGCATAACTGAGAATATATCAATTCCTGAGACAAACTATTAAGAAAAAAGAGTATTTGGAATATCACAGCCCGTTATATGGATTCGAATTTATATTCGAATCGATAAAAATTTCGAATTGCTCAGTGGCACAAAGTTTTAAATCAATGTGTTTAGACGATTCGATCGTATATCGCGGTGGGAAATTTTACCGAATACGTCCAAATTTACATTTGATTTGTAACTGCAAGGCGTATCCAGTGATGCGATATAAAATTAAAGATAGATTAATCAACCACATCATCAGATTAAGACATTTTCCTGACAGATGGAAGAAATCTCACGTAATAAGGATCAAAAAACCAGGAAAAATGTCACATTTTCACAGAATTTTCGGCTGATAAGCTAATTACTAGCAATAAGCAAAATTGCAGGGCGGGTCATACTAGCTAAGTTAAAACAAGAATCAGACGAAATACCTGAAGCACAGTTCGGATTCAGATCCCAACACTCATGTGAACTTCAGGTACTTCGTCTAGCAGAATATATCATAAAAGATTTCAATGAAAAGAAATAGACAGCAGCCGCTTTTCTAGATGCCAGTAAGGCATTCTACAGAGTCTGGCACGAAGACCTGCTGTTTAAAATGAACCAATATGGTTATAGTGAGGCGATGACATGCCTTCTCTCGTCATACCTAGCCGACAAAAGGTTCAATGTTCGGATCGAGCCAGCCTCTTGAAAGGTAGAGCCATGGAGGCTGGAATACCACAGGGAGTGGTGTTGTCGCCGTATTAACAGACACCCCAACCGAACCCAGATTGTTGCTAAGTCTATAGTAAGAATACTATACAGCAAAAGCAGAAGTTTATATGGCGTACGGTTAATAAAAAAATAGGTAAGACGGTAAAACATAATAATTATGATAAAATACAACTTGCTGATAAAATTATTACTAATAAATATGAGATGGCAAACGCTTTTGTAGAGCATTTTACTACTTGTCCTAAAAATAAAATCATAAATTTTTTTAAAAATACCAATTTTGATCATTATACCACACAACATGTAGCTAAATCCTTTTATTTTTTTCCTGTAGATGAGTATGATGTTAGAGAGGTTATTCCCTCCTTGAAAAATGTTACCTCGGTAGGTATTGATTGCATATCAACAAAATTAATAAAGTGTATCAGTGAATATATAGCGCAACCCCTTGCAAATTTAATAAATTTATCAGTTGAACAGGGTATTTTTCCACATAGCTTGAAGGTAGGAGTTGTAACTCCAATATTCAAAAGTGGGGAGAATTCAGTTTTAGATAATTACAGGCCAGTTACGGTCCCTACTATTTTGGGTAAAATTTATGAAAAATGTGTATACAAAAGAATGTATAGTTTCCTTAGTAAATACAATATATTATGTTCCAACCAACACGGATTTCTACCTGGTAGATCAACAGAGAGTGCTACCACTGAATTGCTTAGTTTCATTCACATCGCACTGGATCGGGGAGATTTTGTGGGGGCACTTTTCTTTGATCTCTCAAAAGCATTTGATACCATAAACGTAAGAGTTGCTATAGAGAAGCTAAAAAATCTTGGTTTTAGGGGTCAGTTCGCATTATGGCTGTCATCTTATTTACATTCTAGGAAGATCCTCGTTAAACTTAGTGACACACGATCAGATTATGGTGATATTGATATTGGGGTTCCTCAAGGTTCAATATTGGGACCATTAATATTTCTATGCTACATTAATGATATGCCTAGATATGTCAGTTCAAATAACATATTTATGTATGCAGATGACACAACCATTGCTACATCTGCTTCAAGTGCCGAGGAATTAACTGTTCGACTGAATGTTATATCAAAAGATTTTACAGAGTGGTGTAAAAAAAATGCTTTGATTGTTAATGCTAAAAAAACCACAAGTATGCAATTCTACTACAGATCAAATTCAAGTTACCAGTTTTCTATAAAAGTGAATGATAGCCTGGTTCATTCTACAACTTCCACTAAACTTTTAGGTTTATATCTTGATAGTAACATGAGCTGGGAATCTCAAATTAATCATGTTTGCAAAAGAATAAATAGTAGTTATTACGCAATATTGCAATTAAAAAGCTTTCTTAAAAAGGAACAGTTATTGAGTGTTTATTATGCAATTGTTTATCCTCACTTAGCCTTCAATATAAATCTTTGGGGTAGTGCTGTGAATGCTGCAAGAGTGTTTGTCTCTCAGAAAAGGATAATTCGGTTAATTTTTGATTTACCATATAGGCATTCATGTCGACAATATTTTAAAGAATACAATATTTTAACAGTACCTTCTATATATATTTTTAAATGTATACTACATGTAAAAGCCAATATAACTACTTTTAATTTAAACTCTGATTATCACCAGTACCCAACTAGGCAAAATGACCTCATCAGAGTACCAAAGCATAATACAGCACGGTTTGAAAAATCCCAGTATTATATGGGTATAAGACTTTTCAATCATCTTCCCAACAGTATTAAATCTGAAATGAATTTAAATAAATTTCGAAGTAAATTAAAATCTTTTCTGTTGCAAAATTGTTTCTACAGTGTAAATGAATATATGGGGGATGTAAATAATTAATTCTATGTATTTTTTATCCTTTTACTCTGAAATTGTGATGTTTTTATAATGTATTTATGTATATATATATATATATATATATATATATATATATATTTTATTCGACTTATCCTATATCATGTAAATGATCTTTAAGGATGAATAAATTATTATTATTATTATTCCAGATTTAGCCATACGGCTCACACTCCCTCTAAGGGAAAATTCACTCATCCCAGATACCTACGGTATCAAAAGGATTGAGCTCTGGTGGGACTCTTTCCATGTTATCGAGTCCTAGGTGACTTGGTATGTTGGAGTATCTCCCAAAAATTTTCGTACACATCTGGACGTCGCGAGGAGTACAGCTTTCTGCATGGCCTTATAAAGATGTTCATTTAGACCTAGTTGTTTTATGTTCGCTAGGAGGTTTTTGGGAATAACACCAGTAGTAGATAGAACAATAGGTAGTGTCTGGGTACTTTCCATTCTCCATTGTCTCCTGATTTGTATTTCTAGATCTCTGTACTTGGCGATCTTTTCGTTGTATTTAACACCTAAATTATTGGTGTTGGGTATCGCCACATCAATAAGTGTTGTTTGTTTAGTAGGTTTATTAACTAGTATGAGATCCGGTCTATTATGGGCCACTGGATGGTCTGTAAGCACAGTGCGGTTATTATTATTATCCAGATTTAGCCATACGGCTCACACTCCCTCTAAGGGGAAAATTCACTCATCCCAGATACCTACGGTATCAAAAGGATTGAGCTCTGGTGGGACTCTTTCCGTGTTATCGAGTCCTAGGTGACTTGGTATGTTGGAGTATCTCCCAAGAATTTTCTTACACATCTGGACGTCGCGAGGAGTACAGCTTTCTGCATGGCCTTATAAAGATGTTCATTTAGACCCAGCTGTTTTATGTTCGCTATGAGGTTTTTAGGAATAACACCAGTAGTAGATAAAACAATAGGTATTGTCTGGGTACTTTCCATTCTCCATTGTCTCCTGATTTGTATTTCTAGATCTCTGTACTTGGCGATCTTTTCGTTGTATTTAACACCTAAATTATTGGTGTTGGGTATCGCCACATCAATAAGTGTTGTTTGTCTAGTAAGTTTATTAACTAGTATGAGATCCGGTCTATTATGGGCCACTGGTTGGTCTGTAAGCACAGTGCGGTCCCAGTATAGCTTGTAGTTGTCATTTTCAAGCATTCTATCAGGGGCGTATTGATAATAAGGAAGATGGTCGGTGTGGAGAAGTCCCAGTTTATCAGCTAGTTCTTGGTGGATAATCTTTCCTACTGAGTCATGGCGTTCTTTATAATCAGCACCGACAAATGCCTGGCAGCCACCGGTAAGATGTTGGATGGTTTCTTGGGCTTGGCATCCATATCGGCATCTGTCATTTTGGACTTGAGGATCTTTAACAATATATTTCAGGTAATTTTTAGTTGGAATAACCTGATCCTGAATGGCAAGTAGGAAACCCTCAGTCTCGGGAAACATCTTTCCTGATGTCAACCAATAGTTCGACGCTGTATTGTCGACATATTCTTGGTTGATCTCATTGAGATGTCGCCCGTGCAGAGGTTTACTCATCCAGGTGCGCATTTTTTCTTGCTGAGTCAGGTGGTTTATGCGCATTTCTTGTTCCCTCAGTTTAAGCGGCGTCGTATCATCTACTGCGCAAATTGCTCGATGTAAAGTAGATGTCTCAGCCTGTACCTGAAAATAAGATCTTAAATTAGCAATTTGTTTATCTAATTGCTCACCTATATCCATAAGTCCTCTTCCCCCTTGATACCGCGGTAATGTTGTTCTCTCTACTGCACTACGTGGATGATGTTTTTGCGCCTTTGTGAGAAGTGTTCTTACTTTCCGCTGAAGACCCTCTATATCCGTTTTTGACCACTTTATAATACCAAATGAGTAGCTCAGCGCGGAACAGGCGTAAGTATTTAATGCCTTAAACAAATTTTTACTATTAAGATATGACCGATTTAATTGTCTTACTCTTCGCACGAACTCCGAAGTTAGTTCTGTTTTCATTTGTTTATGGTCAATTTTCCGCGCTTGTTTTACTCCGAGATATTTGTACATATCATTTTCACCCATTGCCTCGATGTTTTGGCCATCTTGCATATCGAAACCTCCGGGCTGAACCTTTCCTCTGACTATATTTAGTATACGGCACTTGTCTAGTCCAAAATGCATACTGATATCATTTGAGAAATTTTCTACAGTTTTTAGCATCTCATCTAAGTGGTTTCGAGTGGAAGCCATTAATTTTAAATCATCCATATACAACAGATGATTAAGCTTCGCTACAACGGTGTTGTTATTTTTGATGCTAAATCCTGAGTCAGTAGAGTTCAGCAGCTGAGATAGTGGGTTCATCGCTAGGCAGAACCAAAGTGGACTCAAGGAGTCCCCCTGGAAAAGGCCCCGGTTAATAGGGATATCTTCAGTTTCGATATTAATTTCACCAGGTATTTGAAGGTGAATTTTAGTCTTCCACTCTGCCATTATATGTTTCAAAAAGGTCACAATATTATCATCGACTTTATATATTTTCAATATATCTATAAGCCATTCATGCGGCACTGAATCAAAAGCCTTCTTGTAGTCAATGAAGGCAGTAAAAAGGTTTCTTTTTTTGGTGTATGCCTGGTTAGAAATGACTGAGTCGATAATAAGTTGTTCTTTGCATCCCATGGAGCCCTTAGCGCATCCTTTCTGTTGGGGCTCTATGATATTGTTCAGAGCACAGTGTTGGTAGATACGCCGGGCCACACAGGATGTGACCAATTTGTACAAAGTTGGAAGACAAGTAATTGGGCGGTACTTGGCTGGATCTTGGGTGTTATTTTGATCCTTCGGTATTAGATAAGTGGTTCCCTGAGTAAAGAATGATGGTATTCCCTGTGAATTAGAAATAATATTATTAATAAATACTGTTAAAAGCTCATGTACACTCCAAAACTTCTTTAGCCAAAAGTTTTGAACTCCGTCCGGTCCAGGAGATTTCCAGTTATGAAGCTCTTTGATAATGTTCGAGACTTCTTCAGTGGTGAAAGGTTCATAAGGAATATTCCTGTAGTGTTGACATTTGTTTGTGGTGTCTTCAATCCATCCAGCATTGTTGTTATGGGTAGCTGGCGTCGAAAGTTGGTTGCCCCAAAACTCATGAATTTCTTCTTGGCTTGGGTAGGATTTATTTGCGTTTTCTACTGTGGAATTAAGTTTCCTATAGAAAGTTTTTTCTGCTTGCTCAAAAAGTATATTGTCGCATTTTCGGTTGTTACTAACTTTGTATCTCCTCAGGCGGCCTGAGTAAACAGATAGTTTTTGTTTTAATGTGTCCAGGCATTGTTGAGGTGTGTTGTTTTCTGGATCATATCGTGAGTGTCTTAGAGTGTTAAACAGTATTTCTTCAGCTCTTTTGATGATTTTTCTACTTCTTACTCCTCTTATGTACTCTGTTATTTGTCCAATGTCCCTACGCAGTAATTCGATCTTCTTCAGCAGTCGTTTTTCCCAGGGTGCTATTCTGTTACCAGTCCTTCCGATGTTGGTACCCCGTCGTGTTCTGATCTTAATGCCCATAACATTAGCAATTGCTGTTGCTGCACAGTAAATCAGCATATGCAAATATTCCAATGTGTGGGCTTCTGTGATATAATTGGGTAGGACTTCAGTATTCACAATTTGTAACAGCGCTCCTAGTTTCTTGGAAGAGTTTATTTTTGGTAGCGGTGGTCTGCTAAGTGGGTTTGTTCCACTAAACTCTTGTACGGCGCGCGCCATTTCGTTTGCCAGACTATCGTGCAACTCGTTATTGTCCTGCTGTGTATTATTAGGTTGAGTTTCTTGTATGAGAATCTCAGGAATCTGTTCATTAGGGATTTCATTAGGGACTTGGTCTGCAACTTGTTCTTGGTTATGAATCTCCCGTTCGATTTCGTGTCTGATGGTGTCGCGTCTAGTCTCTGGAATAAGATTGTTTCTTAAAATTACCCGGTATTGATCTGCTACTCTTTGTTCAGATACTTGGATTTCTGGATACTCCCTGCAAAATTCGGCATACAGTTGTTGTCGATAGCCGATTGTTTCTTGACCGAGGTTTGTCACCTTATAATAAAAGCGCAAAATATTTTCGTTTATGGACACTGTCCACTTCATACGCTGCCTCGGTCGTCCCGCTTGAGTGAGCGCCGGCTGATGTTCCAGCGCAGCACCTTCAGCGAGTGGAGCTCTTGTTGTTGTTTGGCTCACTTGTGGTTGTTGTTGTTGTTGTATTATTATTATTATTATTATTATTATTATTATACGCAGACGATACAGCGATAGCTGTTAGCAGTACCAACCTTGATCTACAAGACACCTACAGAGGGCACTTAACGAACTACAAGATTGGTGTATGTATACAGTGAAAGATGGCTGTCAACCCTGACAAAACACAGGCCGTCATGTACCAAAAGAGAAAACGCGGACCAAATTGAGTTTTATCGAAAAAGCGATATTTTTTTTAGCAATGAAACTCACTTGTGGTTGAATGGCTATGTCAGCAAAGAAAACTGCTCTATTTAGAATTAAAATAATCCTCAAATGTATGTTGAGAAACCATTACATACAGAAAAACTGATTTGGTGTGCGTTATGGTCTGGTGGAATCATTGGACCGTACTTTTTCAAAAACGATGCTGGTCAGAACGTTACAGTCAATGGTGACTGCTATACAGTCATGATTACTGCCTTTTTGATTCCCCAATTGAACAACCGTGATGTGCAGGAGCTGTCGTTTCAATAAGACGGCGTAAAATGTCACACATCTCGTGCCACAATTGATTTATTAAAAAAACGTTTGGTAATCACAGAGTTCTACGTTTCGGACCGTAAATTGTCCTCCAATATTGTTCGAGTTAACTACTAGATTATTTTATGTGGGGATATGTGAAGGAGCTAGTCTACGCCGATAAGTATGAAACGATTGACCACTTGGAGGACAACATTCGCCACATTATTGCCGATATTGCAGATTAGACTACGTCAGAGCCAGCCATGACAGAAGATTATCTTTAGAAAAAAGCCAATTTCATGTCAATTTATTATCTATTTATTATCGTAGCCTCTCCTATTCAAATGTCAACTTCACCTGCCTGTGAGATGATGTAGAACATGATCATCCGGTACATTCTGCTAGATAACAAACGAGGCTCTGGCGTCCGAGTGATTGCCGGTATAAGCAATCCCCCACTTACCGACCAATAGTTTCGGGTGGAAGAGTTGGTAAGTGGAAGGGCACCTTATTGTCCTAGAAATGGAAAATCATTTCTAAGGGTGGACAAACCAGACATGGTTAACGGCATGGAGATGCATAAGGCAATGGAAAACCAATGTATTAAAGGCTCATAGAGTATCCCTAGTTAATCATCATGACTAACAACACAACCAAACCATCTACTGATCATGAAGCTCGGAAAACAAGATCCAGCAGAGGTGGAAACTCACAAGACTGCAGGGCCTCCCCGGTCGTCAACATGCGAAAATGGAAAGGCTGAATAAAGATATTTTAGAAATCAGCGATGTCGAATGACCCGACTCATAGGACTCAAGGACAGATAAAAATCAACAATAAAACAATATCTTATTCAGGAAGTCAAGACGGTTCACACAGATATGGCGTCGGGATAATATTAAACAAAAACATTGATGAAGCTGTAATAATTTTTACTCTTATACTCCAACAGAATTATGCTCTTACAATTGCCAGAACAAACCTAAATTAAACATCCTACAAATTTATGCTGCAACTACAGACAAACCAGAGAGCGATATTGAAAATTTCCACGAAGACCTAGACAACATTTTAAAATCCATTAAAACGCAAGATGTAACAACTATTATGAGAGACTTTAACGCAAAGGTTGGGGAAGAAAAAGTAGAAGAATTTACAGGAGGATATGGTCTGGGCAGCAGAAACGAAAGGGGTGACAGGCTTATCGAATTTTGCCAACACAATAATTTTGTTATAGCTAATACATTGTTCAAAATGCCAAAGTAAAGACTATATACCTGAAAGTCACCAGCAGATCAAGAAGAGATAATTGTAAGAAACCAAACAGACTATGTATTAGTTAGACAAAGATACAGGAACGCAATTGTATCCGCAAAACTTATCTAAGTGCCGACATCACAACCCAGTAGTGACCAAAATTAAGCTCAAAATGAAAGTAATATAACGAAGAACAACAAATGCAACAATTGATACAAGTAAATTAAAGAACCCTTGTGTTGTTTAAATTAAAGAGTAAATTAAAAAAAGCTTGTGTTGAATACTAACGACAAATTAAAGACGGACAGAATACATCAATGAACTGTTTAAAGACAATAGAACAGAACAGATGGAGATAGAAGTAGAAGAGGATATGGTCTTAAAGATATTAAAAGAGGAAATTAAAACAGCATTAAAAAACAGCAAAAAAAGCTAAACATTGAAGCAAGAACACATAAATAAGTTTTTTGAAATGTGGTGTTACAGGAGATTCCTTAGAATAGCATGAACTGCTAAGGCTGGTAATACAGAAAAAGATAAGAGGAGGAAGAAGTATGAGTGTCATGGTTGAAGAATTTAAGGGACTGCATCCAAAACTGAATAGTCAGAATATTCATCACCGTTACTTATGAAATCCAAAATTGAACGAATTTTGTTGATGATATTTGGGTTTGTTTGTTGTTAAAGCAGTATTTGTTCTTACAGGCAATAATTGCCATCATCTGTATCATTCAGATTTATCAACCATTTACTTTATTTTCGGTTACTAAAAAATCGTTTTTTCAATATTCACCCAAAAGGACATTTTTTCGCAAAAACTTCTTCCAGCATGCAATTTCTGAATTTGTTTTGTATGTATGGAAATTAATTGTCAAGTTCATAAAAAGAAATAGTTTAGGTGTATTGGCAATGATGAATAGACTGAAGTAATTTTTAGAAATAAATATATATTATATAGTTCTATATTTTGCACCTTTACACATTTTATGTGTAGTGGTGTAGTGGTTTAAATGCAGTTCTATAGAACTCTTCAGAGCAGCAGTAGATAGAGTAAAGATAGTGATGATGATATCCAACCTCCGATTGGAAGACGGCACTTAACGAAGAAGAATAAAAAGAAGTCTACCGGGATGAGGTCTAGAGACCTCGACGGCCAAAAAAAATCCAAATTCCACCGTAAAATCTTAGCGCTAAAATAAGACTTTGTGCTGTGTAGGACCAATGCTCGAACATCTATTTAACAACGACATGCTGCTCTTAATGTTGGTACTATATTTCTTGTCTTTAAATTGACAGGTAATCAATTAATCGGACAACTAATTATTTAAAAATTGTAGGTATCTATCTACATTAATGATATTTCGACAAATGTATTTAACAATTATGTTTTTATAAATGTCGCACCATATATTTGTTTTAAATGTCTATTTGTCTATTTTCTTTTACCTCTTAACCTAATGCTATACGATCCCAATACCGTTCAGGCACAATCTTGAAAAGCTTCAAAAATTACCAAAATAAACCAGCGCTTTTTTACGTTTTCTCAAAAGAAAAAACATGGGGTGCCTCTATCATAGCCCACTTACTGTTTATCAAATATTAAATATATTTTCGGTTTGGACACAATTCTCCTGCTGTCACATATTTGTGCGTAAATCCACTCTTCTCAAATTAATTTTCGATGAATGTCGCAGTGAATGACAACATTTTCAATTAACAATCAGCCGCAACAGAAACTGAGTGATTTTTCTAATTAACGATCTATGGTCGTCAGTTTGCAATGAAATCGCTAAAATCGACCACAAGTACTTTCGAAACAATTGCAATCGCATCGGCCGTCGTTAGCAAGCACTGTTTGGTGTTTCTGCACTCGCGCGAATGTGATAGTGAAGCTTTAAAGCTCGTTCTTGGATAGACTAATGTTATTTTGATGTTTTAGAATAGTTTCAGATTTACCGAATTAAGTCTTTGAATAATACACTCTTAAAAAAATAAGTGTTAAATTAAAAATATGTATCACTTTTATTTGACGTATGCAATCGACGAATAGAATTGTCCAATTTATCTAGTTTTTTAGTGCCTTTTTATTCTACGTTCTAGAGGTCATTTTATTCTTTGATTTACTAGTTTTCATGTTAAGAATTTCTGTTTCAATCGCGACCTTGTTTGGTATTTCGTAATTCATCTCATACGTCTCAGAAAACTTTACAATTGTATTCCTTGTTTATGGAATCATTCATTAACAGGTAATTTTCTGCTTTTGGTCATATTCAACATTTTTCCTTGTAGTTTAAATGTATTGTAGTCATTATGACTTATAAAATTTATCCAATATTTCTTCTTGGTGGCTTCGTGTTTAGCGTTGACCCTCTTTCTGTTACCTACTATATTCTGATATTTTCTATGTAGTTTCTCAGAGGTTGCTCCCAATTCCAAACTCTTCTTTATTTCCTTGCAAAACTCCAGGAATTCTTTAGTGTTAGTTTTCCAATATTGACGTGTTGGGAAAACTCTTAACATTCATGTTTACCTTGTTTTATACAATGCTTGCATGCTTTCCGTTGAAAAATTAAGACAGTTTTGATGAATTGCTAAATAAAGACATTATTGAACTTTCTGAAGTTGAAGACGTTTGAGCTAACCTTATATAATATTTCAGTATAATGGAAAAACCTGAGAAGAATATTCTTTATTCGTTATTAAATTTTTCTTAGCAGGAATCGCAGTGATTGCTACTATAGGCCGACTATACTCAAAAGTACTACAGAACCTGATAGAAAATGATATTAAACACAAACAACCCGAAGAACTAGCGGGATTTAGGCCCGACGCTCCACTATGGATAGTTTCACATTAAAAATTGCAATGGAAAAACGAATACAGAGAAATAGAGAAACCCATATGTCTCTAATAGATTTGGAAAAAGCATATGACAGTGTCCCGATCTCCCAATTATGGATAGAAATGGCTAACTTGAAAATAAACCCAATTGATATTAACGCCACTCAAAAATCCTACGAACAAAAATTTGCAAGAATTAAAATTGGACAAGAAATCACCTCTCCTTTTCAAACAACAAAGGGACTAAAACAAGGCTGCTCTCTGTCACCCACCTTATTTAAAATCAATTTGGACAGATCCTTAGTGAAATGGGTAAAAAAATGTAGAAACATGGGAATAACGGTGGAATAAAACACGCTATATACACTTTTCTTTGCGGATGACCAGGTAGTAATTGCTGAAGACAGCTACGATCTTAGCTATATGGTAAGAAAACTACAACAAGAATATGAGGTGGCAGGTCTAAATATGAATATGACAAACTGTGAATATCTCTCAGTAGGAACAGATGAAATATGTGACCTAGTCTTAGAAGACGACAAAATCAAAGGCGTGCAATCCTGCAAATATTTGGGGGTCATTTTCAACAAGAAGGGAAATAGCGCAGATGAAATCAGGAAAACAATAAACAAGGGCAGAGAAGCGACCCGTGCCTTAAACTCTCGTCTCTGGCAAAAAACAATTAAATGAGAAACCAAAAAACACACTTACGGTAATATAGTCCAAAGTATTACACTTTACGGTTCGGAAGTATGGGACGTCATCAAAGCTAATAGAAACAAACTTATTACGACAGAAATGGATTATCTGAGACGAAGCTGCGGTAGATCGAAACTGGAGAGAGTAAGAAACGAACAAATAAGAAACGAAATAAAAATGGAGCGAAATATCAATGATGGCATAGAAAGAAAATAATTAATCTGGTTCGGACATGTTAAAAGAATGCCAGAGTACAGATGACCTAGAAGAGTACTGGAATGGATCCCTCCTGGAAGAAAAAAGAGAGGACGACCACGGAAAAGTTAGCGCAACTATATTAATGATGTTCACTCCATTTTATGAATAAATGTCTATGTTTAATTGATTTTGTTTGATTTCTTCTGGGAAATGCAGTTCTTCTATCTAATCATCAGATTCGTTTTCTCTAATTTCTGGTTGTCCCTTAATTTCGAAAATGCATTGGGGCTAGATTTTGGAGCCGATTCTGGAAGTTTCTTGACGACCATCGGTTTTTTAAAGGTGTCTGTCTTAGCAGATAGATAGGTTTTTTGGGGAATTCGGTCTGTTTAGGTGTAACTGGCGACACTTTCAGTTCTGATAATCTTTTTTTAGCTTTGGCCAGGTGACCCTTTAGTGATTTTGGTGTTTGTTGGGCACACTTAGGGCGCATCTGGACAACCTGTTGTGTCGATGCACCATTTTTCTTCATGATTTTTAAGTGAGTCTGTTCAGTCTTAGGTGCCACTTTCACGATCATCTGGCCGCTTTTCGTAGCTACTATAAATGTACTAGAGTCTATAATACCTGCTGTTTTCGACATTATGTAGACTCCAGCGCTGAAAAAAGGTAGCTGCTTCTGATTGATGTAAAGGAGTGTTTTTACCAACACCGTTTTTGATTATTTCTAGCGGAGACAAACAAACAAGAAGTTTAGTATTTTAAAAATTTAATTTTTAAACCTTTTGAAAGTTTGTTGTTTCTAAATTATTTGCTGCGAATTTGGTGATCGGTAAAAAATATAATACAAATCTCCAGCATTCCCAACAAATGATTTGCAAATTAGAATTAAGCTGTTTTTGGTATGCAGATCGATTTCATAAAACGGCTTTACGCAAAAGTTCAGCGATTCTCCAAAAGTGACTTATTTGTTATAAAATATGTACAACCACAGCCTCCTACAGTTACTACCTACAGTAACTGTAGGAGGCTGTGGTACAACAGATTAAACTATCATTTTGTTTACGACCTAATCCTAAATAGAAGAAGGATAGAAAAAATTGAGTGATTGTAGATGGCAATTGATTGCATCCCCGTAGCATGGTGAGGGGCCGAATCACTAGTGATAAATAAAACTGGAAAAGAAGGATTTGATGAAAAGAAAGAAATTTTATGGGGAAAAAAGGGAAATAATGAAGTAAAAATATGCAGAATATAAACAAACCAAATTATAAGAAAAATGTAAAATAAAGATGAGACTATAACAAAAATAAGTTAAAGATTAAATTTAAAAAAATACTATTTATACCAAAAACCAAATCAAATAAAAAAAAAGTTAAACCTCACATAATGAAATTATTAAAAACGAGTAAAGTAGTTCCAAAAAAAATTTCAAAAAGAATCAGTTTGATGATTCAAGAAAAAATCCAAATATTATTTACTATCATAGACTTGGGGTAATATTAATTCAATCACTTCAATACTTTTCTTCTTCTTTTTTTGTCTCTTAATAGAAAAAACAGCTGTTTAATCTTCGGAATAAGTCAAACATTCGGTTTGTAATAGTCAATTGGTGAAGTTTCAAAAGAACTCCTGTTTGTTGAAATTATATTGTGGCAATTAAATTTGTTCTAACATATTCCTCAATTATTATTGAACAACTTTTTATTTTACATTTCTGTTTCAAGGCACTTTTCAAATATTCTTAATTTTAGTGACAGTTATTGTTAAACGCAAAATATGCTATTCAAGTAAGCGTTTATCTCTTAGCGTTGGTAACACAAACTTTATAGATAACAGTAGGGTGACAGATAACAGTTATTTATGGATCATATCATTACTACCCTCTGTCACCTGATAGTACAAGTCTGAACTTTGTCACGGCTTTCTAGCTAATAAATCTCGTGAAAATTTGGGAAACGCAGTAAATCATTTACCGCAAATAATTTTGCGGTAAATGATGGGCTATATCATTTATATATGATGAAAAAAACAATGGGCTATATCTGAGGAACAAAAGCCGATATCAACAAATGCCTGAAACCGTTTCTAGAATAGTACAACGGAATTAAAATGACATGAAAGACAACCCACCTTCATCAACCCCCTAGGCCCCACCCATCACAACCAAAAAAGTTTAAATTACAAACCCCTACTTGTGATACATCATTGAAAAGACTATAAAAAATGCTATTCAATGGTATAAATACTAGTTTTACAAGGTAAAGCAATAATAATTGTAAAATTTTGGCTTAAATTGAAAATTTAATAAGGTTTTTGTTGAACTACAAATTTGTTAAAAATGTCAATTAAGTAAATGTTTAGTTGTTTTGTAAACAATAATAGAGCCTATTTTCAAATTTTGCATGAACTTTGGTAAATGTTGTTCTAGTAATAGCGCTACATGCTTGCGTAATTCTTTCTCGCAATTCTTCAACTGACACAGGTTGAGTTTTAATAATAAATGACTTGAGGTAACCTCATAGAAAAAAGTCAGGTGGCGGTAAGTCTGGTGAACTCGGTGGTCACTCAATAGGACCTCTCCTTCCAATCAATTAGTTCGGATAATTAGTATTCAACCAGTGCCTAACTAGAGTTGCATAGTGAGGAGATGCTCCATCTTGTTGGAAGTACAGCAATCTTTGTCTAGAGCTGGCTTACCTTGATGGTCATTGTGGTTCACTAATTCATGCACAATTAAATGTTCTATGGTGTTTTCCAGCATATCGAGATAAATAACGTCACTTAAATTGCCTGGTATGAACAACGGGCTAATTATAACATCGCCTAATATTCCTACCCAAACATTCAGTTTTTTAGGATATTGGGTGTGACCTTCTCTGAATCTTTGTTTATTAACATTCTCGGTTCAAAGCAAATTCTTTTAGTCATGAGTTCACAAAACTGTGAATTCGTTGGTTTGGATCATCATCGCCAAGTTTTTAAAGAATTTGTATTTTATAAGTAAATTATTTTTGTTTCTAGAGAAATTAAGATTTCCCCGATAGTTGCAGTTACCAAACACTGGCTTAAAGTTAACGAGCCTTTTTTTGTAGAAAAATATACCACAATTACTAGGTATGATCGTTCAAGTTCAGCTCATGGTGGCACCCTAATTCTTTTTACAAATAATGATTTTTCTCCCATAACAGAACATGACTTTATTTTGAATGAATCCTTTTTAAGTTTTCATTGGTTTATAACAAAAATCTTAATTTATACATTCTTTGCATTTATAGATCACCTGAGTCTTTCACGGAACTATTTTTTCAGAACCTGTTAACTTTGTTAGACGATATGCCCAATAAAAGCAGAAAGATTCTATGCATTAACTTGAATATTAATTACGCTGTTGCTTGTGGTACCCAATTATCGTTGGTCAATATATTCGAATCGTATGGTTTCACAATGCACGTTAATTCTCCTACAAGAATTGATTATATTGTCTCAGATTTTTCACCCCTTGATGCACGCTCTACAATTTTTAATGCAGCACTATTTGATCATGAAGCAGTATGTATTAAGTTTACTCGAAAACCCAATGTTAAGGTAGGATTTTTTCCTCTCAGAACTTTCGTAAATTCCAAAAATTATGCTTGACTTCTGGGTGGCACTTTCCCTCTGTGGACGTGGACTATAATTTCAGTGATTTTTAGATAAGCTGATCTTTATTTTCAATAAGGCATTTCCTTTAATTAAAATTAAGTCAAAACACCACAAACCTTGGACTACCAAAGATATCCGCATATCAGCCAAGAATATGCATTCACCACTGAACATCAAGAAATTTACTATCAACGTCTTTACCACTGAATATATTTCCATTACAGAAGAACTTATGTAAGACTTATCAACAGCTAAAACAACACCAAAACGGCTAAAAAAATGTACTATGAAAATCGTCTTTGAAGTTATAAAAATGTTGCAAGGAAAACTTGGTTCATAATAAACGATCTTCGAAATAAAACTAACACAGCTCAAACATTTTCTCTTCCAAACCTTGAAAATCTAAATGAATACTTGGTTAATATGAGTAAAAACATAACATCAGCTATTTTGCCACAACTTATTTCCTATCTCCCCAATTCAAAAAAGGTCTCGAATTCATTATTTATATGACCAGTTGATAAATCTGAGCTGACTCAAATAATAACTGGTATCAAGCAAATCTTCCTGTAGTATTGATGAACTATCCATAAAAATTTTCTTCCCTCTCCCAAATAATGTGTTGGATGTTCCGTTAAATCTTCCAAATAATGTATTGGAAGTCCTGATCTCACTAATTAACGATTCCTTTAAAAACAGTATATTTCCAGAGTGCCTAAAGATAGCCATTATTATTCCTCCTTATAAAGGTGGTGATAAATCTAATGTCTGCAACTATAGACCTATTACGTTACTACTGGTCCTATTCAAAATTATTGAGACACTTATAAAAGCCGGACTTATGTCCTTTCTCGTTGAAAACAACATTTTATCATAAAGTCAGTTCTACTTTTTATCTAATAAACGTACCATTGATGAAACGTACTACATGAGGTCTATCAAGTATTAAACAATAATCTTTACACTGCCACTGTTTTTTGTGACTACCTATGCCAAAGCTTTTGATTGCGTAAATTATGACATTTTGATAAAAAAGCTAAATTTCTACGGAATTCGAGGTATTTCTTTGAATTGGTTCCAATCTTACTTGAGGAATAGGAAACAACTAGTAAGAGCAAATGTTACTGACTCTAGTCACAAAAGCATTGTATGTGGAGTACCACAAGATTCAGTACTGGGTCCTCTACTTTTCCTTAACTTTATAAATGACATCACTTATACATCGATGGAAAAAATTTTCTTTTTGCTGATAATATCAGTATTACCTGAAGGAACACTAATATTACAAGTCTTGCAATTATAACTTCTAATCTTCTTGAAATAAAAACCTTGTCCTACTCTAATTTACTTTCTTTTAACGTAGATAAGACAGTAGCATTATTCTATAAAGGAGCTCTTGAATCCTTGCTTCTTAATAACATTCAGATCAGTATCGTTGATTCTGTAAAATTTATTGTATTTTTATCGATAGCAACCTTAAATGGTCCCTTCATATCGATTTATTAAGTAAGAAACTAGCCTCAATAACCTATGCAATAAGATCTGTTTCGAAGGATATCAATTTAGCATCTTCCAAAATAAGATTTTTTTCTTTGTTCTAGTCTTATCGCCGATGTGGCCTTTCTTTTTGGGATTCTAGTACAATCGCCCAATTTGATGTTATTTTTAAATTACAAAAAAGAGCAATACGGTATCTTTTTGGCGTTAGTAGAATAACACATTGCAGAAGTTACTTTAAAAATAACGAGATTTGAACACTTCCCTCTTTATGTGTACTAGAAACTGTTTGCTTAATTCGTAAACACCTACATATGTTTCCAGCAAGATCTAATCATGACTAATCCACCCTAAATTCAAGCTTTGATGTATCTATATTTACCGATCCCATCCACTGAGTTAGTTAAGAAATCTATATTATATTCGACAAAAAATTTTGCAACTTAACAAATTGAAACATTGCAATTGACAAAAGCCTATCTATCTGAAAGACCAGATTAT